ATGGCATGGTGGAACGCCTTCACCGACAACTGAAGACTGCCTTGACTACCCGCCTCAATAGAGCCACCTGGGTTGATGCCTTGCCACTGGTGCTCTTAGGTTTACGAGCTGTCATCCGGGCAGACCTGCAGTGCTCAACAGCAGAGCTGGTGTATGGCACTTCTCTACGGCTTCCGGGAGACTTCTTCACGTCAACGAAGCTACCAGACCAGCCACAGCAATTCCTACAACGCCTCCTCGACTGCGTTCAAGACCTCCGGCCCACTCCACCCAGACCTTCCGAACACAAGACCATATTCGTCCACCCTGATCTGGCCACTGCAACACATGTTTTCGTGCGCCACGACGCGGTCAGACCACCTTTGACACCAGCCTATGACGGACCATTCCGCGTCCTTCACCGCACCCCCAAAACTGCCACTCTACTTCAGAACGGCCGTGAAGAGACAGTCAGCTTGGACCGACTCAAGCCGGCGTACCTGGAGACCGCCCTAGAAAGCCTCTCATCTACGACTGATCTTCCGTTGGAACACCACAAACGGCATGTCACATTTCGACTTCCAGTCTACACGGGGGGCCCTGTAGCGCCCTCGTTCGGGCGGCGCGCAAACCGGAGAGCGCGCGATGGCGAGAGAAGAAAATAAAGAAGGCGCTAGGCCGTGGCACGTGAAGCCACGGCTCGCGTTCCTGGCTGGCATCGGGTATCGTTCAGGCGTGTCTTTCTTTCACTCCTGTGGCATAAGCCTACAATGTTTTCATGTTTGAACGCACACTCTGGTTTCCATAAGATTCCGCTTCACGAAGAAACGTCAAATATATGTACATTTGCAACACCTTTCGGCCATTATCATTTCCTTCGTCTACCGTTTGGAATCGCTTCAGCTCCAGAGGTATTTCAGAAGACGTTAGAGATTTTTGGCGGCATTGCAGGCGTGCAAGTATATGTGGACAACATGCTGATATAGGGTTCGACGAGACAGGAACATGACGGGAGGCTAAAGAAAGGTCTAGAAGTGGCGCGAAAAGCGGGGCTGACTTTCAATCTTGAAAAGTGTGAAGTTGGCGTCACTTAAATTTCTTTTCTTGGCGATATCATTTCAGAGGCAGTAGTAAAGCTGAGCCCCGCATCAATCACTTCGGTTCTTAGCTTGCCACCACCTACTGACAAGCTCAGAGTGCAACGAATGCTAGGCGTGATAAACTACTTCACAAAGTTCATGCCCACACTCGCAGAAAAGGCTCAGTTGTTACCCCAGCTTACAAAGAAAGACACGTTTTTCGATTGGACGGAGAACTAGCTCTACAAATGTCTTAGTGGACAACTGTTGCTGGCAATCTTCGATCCAAAAAGAGACACAAAGATAACCTCAGATGCTTCAGAAAATGGCATAGGCTCGGCTCTCTTGCAGTGGTATGGTGACTCGTGGAAACCAGTTGAATACGCCTCTCACATATTGACAGAGGTGCAGAAAGGGTACTCGCAGATTGAAAAGAAGGCAATGGCAGTTGTAGTAAGGTGTGAAAAGTTTCATCACTTTGCGTACATACGTCACGTTGTCCAAGAAACTGACCACCATCCACTGGTAGCAATTTCGAAGAAAGTTATTAGGGAAATGCCGCCTAAACTGCAGCGTTTTTCTCTGCGTTTATTGAAATATGATTTTCAACTGCAGTTCCTTCCACGACAACAGCTGGTCCAGGCGAATATGCTGTCACGAGCTTTCTTCGGCAGTTCAGTGAAAGACGGAGTATAGACAAATTCCACCGGACTTACGTCACGAAAATGCGGTGGTGCTGTCTTGCTAGGCAAAAGACGTTCTTCCTACCACAGTTTCTGCTGGGTTTTCAATGGTGCATGTGGTGTTCTCAGTCAAGCAACGAGAAAAAAAAACGGTATGCCGATGAACTGCGTTGCGGTTGGATGTGAGTCGCGTCTCACAACTTAGTTTTTTTTGTTGGCACACATCGCAGCCCTCAGCGCTTATGGCTTTCACAATGCTTATGGTGTTTCACAATGTCATTCTGTTGGCGCACATCGCAGCCCTCAGTACTTATAGTAGAAGTTACGTGCGGACGTCACAATAATTTTACCCATAATGTCGACATCGGCCTGTGTTTACAAATATGGAATGGGTATATATAAAGGCGTCGAAATACATGCCGTAAATGCTGTATTTTCACTGGTGAGCGAAGTGATGCAAGATAGACTGGCGAGAGAAACAAGGAAGGAAGACTAATTAAAGAACATGGTGGAACAGCTGGAAAAAAAAACAAGTGGAAGAAGAGCCAAGACCCTTTGTAGGCGAACTATCTGTCATAATTGGCGTTGTCTTGGCAATAAAGTGGTCATACCACCAAGTATGTGACGCGAAATGCTAAAAAGCATCCATGATGGCCACATGGGCATAAACAAATGTAAAGCCTGAGCACGTCATATAGTGTTTTGGCCAGGTTTATATTCAGATATTGAAAGTGTCATTACCGGGTGCACTGTCTGCAAAAAGTACGCTTACAAACAGCCACGCGAGTCACTGATAATACGCCCGACACCCAATCAACCATGGTATCGCGCTGGCGTAGATATCTTTCAGTATGGAGGAAAGTCGTACTTGTGTGCGTACGATGCACATTATAACTTTTCGTAAGTTGAACAACTCCATGAAGCATCGGCAGCGATGACTGTCGAAAGACTGCAAGCAATCTTTGCTAGGTATGCAATACCCCTAGAGGTATGCACAGACAATGGCCCACAGTTTGCTAGCTGAGAGTTCACCATTTGTGCAAAAGACTACGACTTTAAGCATACAACATCAAGTCCAAGGTTTTCACAATCTAATGGCCAGGCCGAAAAAGATGTACAAATTGTTAGAATAATTTTGAAAAAAAAAAACAATTGAACGTAAAAATGACTTTTGGATGGTTCTTCTCAGCTACAGGTCCAGCCACCAAGAAGACAGGAGGTCCCCAGCAGAGTTACTTCAAGGTCGACAACTGAGGACGCCCATACCAAATTTCAACAAGGGCCCCCAAACAGCCGTTCGGAAGCATGGACAAGCGCAACCAATACGTCGGTCTCTTCCACCGTTGACCATAGGGCAAGTGATGCGAGTGCAGGGGAACACCTGGGAAACAAAGGCTGAAGTTCTTAGCCAGATGCAGCGGAGATCTTACACGGTCATCATCGAGAAGGGAAACATTCTGCGACGTAACCAGCAACACCTCTTGCCAACAGCATCCTTTGACGACACGGAAGACTCTTCAGACGAAGAAAGCACCAGTGATGACGTCATCAACCACCCACAACTGATAGTGCAAGCTCTGTGACTATAAGCCCCGGACTCAAACGGAGTGCTCAGAACCAAAGACCACCACAGAGACTGGGTTATCGAAATAACTTTGAGCAAGTTATGTAAACAGCATGCTGCGATTTGAGTGTATTTTTTATTGCTTTGTTTTTCTGATTCAGTCTATTGAAGAAGGGAAGATGTATCGTGTATGTTTGTGCCACACATTTTAATCGTGGTGAGATGCAAGTGTGATAAAACATGTGCTTTCAGCGTACACGTGCCGTGCCCTGACGTCACTGCCCATCCACTGTGGCACCACGTTATCACGGAACCTTCTTTCTTGTCCAGAATGCATAAAAGGCAGCACTGAATAAACTTTTACGTTCTTTGTTGTGTTGAACTCGCCTCACATGTGTCGTGTACTGCTCCTGCACGAAACAATAACCCTGAGCTTTTGCAGATTCATGAAGCCTATCTGGCAGAAAAGAGGAACGGCTACAACCCAAAAAAGGCTTATGATGATAGAGGTATGGCACTGAAAATAATTTATATTCTTTTATTGCACCAAATTCACATTGTGTGTCATTTTAAAATTAGGTGTTCTCCCGAAATTTGTTGAACTATGTAGTAGGTGAAGTCGGCATGGAATGAAAGATCTTGACCATCAGGAAACACAAGTAGCAGAATTGAAATAAATATATATTGGGAACAGTTTTACATTACAGCAATTTTGGTTTCAGTAAAAGATGCTAGAATTCACTCTAAAAAATAAGAATTCATAGGTAGGGAGAGTAAAGTGATTTCTAAAGCAATACATACAGACTAGGAATAAATAAAGTTGAATGAAGAAATTTTGTGACTAGAGTTAAAAATTATGAATGTTCTTTTAGAAAGATTTAATCTGAGTGCCGTGAATTCAATATGTTGATGAAGTCACAATTAAAAGGGAGAGAAAAGATACAGTTAGCTTTGACTTTTTAATGAGTAGTCAGAGTTAAAACTGTGGTATATGCATATAAATATCATGACACAATTGTGAAAATGAAGTAAGTAGAACACAAGTTGGTACAGATTAAGATACCTTCTACTGGACGAACTTGTGCCCACTAAAAGATTAAATCAAAGTATACAATGCATACTCGCTCTAGGGATGGGCCCGGACATCAGGCACCAACTAATGAACTACTCATCTGTGATCCGCCTCTTCTTTTCTACGTGCCGTATTGAAACTTCCAGAACCACTGTTGGTGCTTGCACTAGCCCTAGAATAAACTATTTAACTCATGATCAGTGCGTAATCTTAACAAAACAACCTGAAATGATCGCAAAGCTTCTTAAACATTGCAGCCTAGACTGCGTCAGGCAGGGCTAGCAGTTTTTATGGGAGGAACCTAATTATATAAAAATAAATAATAAAGCCAGATGGCAACACACACATGCACGCACACGAGCATGCATTTATATGCCTGCATCTTATAAAGATTTCATAGTTCAAGTACAGGTACATAATCTCATGTTCTAGGTAGAGATATAGTTTCCATAGCTGGCAGGATAAAATTTTCATTAAATATAATGAGGACCTGCAATACCCATCAAAATAACTTAATTGGACAACATCACATGAAATCATGAATAAATTGCCACAATGCAACCACTGAGGTGCACTGCACGATACAACGAAGTCATGTAATAGTTCTAGCATGCAACTCTCACCAGTTGGTTGTGGCAGGCAGCTGACACAATGTGGTGCGCCATGTAGCTAACGCAGAGCCGCATTAAGTCCTTGACATTATATTTGTCGGCCAGAGCCACCAGTGGCAGCACACGCAAATGGTCAACACGCATCCGGCCAGTGTATAGATAGCCCAGAAAGTCGCCGAAAACACTCTCACAAAGAGGTTCTTCTTTCAGTTTAATGTGGGATGTCCTGCTTGAGCTCCATTTTGGGTCCATCAGCATAACCTGATACAAGGAAAGTGAAGTGTATAGATAAGAATCACTGGCGCCAAGAAATTGAAGATCAGATAGTAGCTGCATGGGAGTATTCAATTGGCTGAAATATAGCTGAATGATAGCGACTGGGGAAAAGCTTCCATAGCTCAAAAGCCAGTTGGATATCACAAAAGGCACTGGTTTAGGCAGTCCATTATTTCCAATAAACTTTTATGGCAGCAAAATTTAACCAACACTGCCACTCCAAGAGCAACATTAATTCATATTTAACAATGTCTGTAAAGTCATTGTACCTCTTCTACTCAACACACCAACCAGATATGCCCAAAGTTAGTAGTTTTATTCTAAAGAATCATTGTTATCTCTAGGGAACACATAGAAATTCCCACTTTTAAGGTTTTAGAACAAAAGCAAACAAGGTTCTCATGCAGTGCATCTTTACAGCAACCAAAATTTTGAAAACAGATAAATAAATTGAAAGGGCCCTGAAACACTTTTTCAAGTAACCATAAAATAATTCACTGGAAGAGCTTATTTTCTCATGAATTCAATGCCGCAAAAATTTTAGGAACTTGTCTAGTGCAAGTGGAGTTACAAAGGTTTGTTGCATGCTGCAATTGCATTCTCTCTTTTCTTGTCCCGACGAAAGTGCTGGAAGCTAAGCAGGGAGGGATGGAAGGGCCACAGAGAAACGTCACGCGTGCCTCGTGACCTTGAGCACTTTTTCTTTTTTTTCTTCGAATGCGTGGCTTTTCCAGTGTGATAGCGTGCGCACGCGTGAACAAGTAGTGGCCTCCCATGGCGATCTCTGTAACGACAGAGCGAGCCATGTTTAAATCAGCCAATGGCTGATAGATGGGCTTACTACAGAGTGATTTTTGGGCATATTTCGTAATTTTTCGAGAGAAGAGAAAGCAATTTTTACCTGACTTTGATAATATATTGTGAATTTCAGGCCGCGTGCTGCGCTATATTATTTGGCTCGCGTGTTGTCGGGAGCCTCTATTACCGATCGGCATCGTTTTCTGACCAGGCTCAAAAAGTGTTGTAGCGCCCCTTTCCATACCAGCTCGGGTAGCACGCTGTAGACTATACTGTGGCTTTAGAATGCAGTAGTCTATATCAAAAGCAGACTGTGTAAATACTGGAAACTCTATAGGTCATGGCAAAGATGCAATAAAGATCAATTATTTTTCAAGCATACATAGCTCATAGAATTTAGAACTTGAATGCACAACTTTCATAGCTCAGAGCGTTCATGTCCAACTCTAGCCTGAAACTGCACAAACGAGTTCAAGCCCACTATTGAAAGAACAGGCCCAGCAATGGCCTACGACATGAATTAAAAATTCAATGCAGATGGCTCAGAAATGTCCCTGATTAGACTGTAGTGACAACGAAATAAGACACTGTAAATAGAGAGCACCTAAAAGGCAGAGTGAAAAGAATGACAGATGCAACAGGTGCATTAACCCTTTCTCTACAGATTGACAGATATAGCTGTCATAGGATTTTGTACCAAAATGGCCAATGACGACTATACTCGTCATCTACAAAAAATGGTCACATGGAACCAATGGCAACTACGCTTGTCATAATTGTGCTTCTTGATGCCAGATGGCCATACTTGTTCATGTTGTGCGATTTGTGTCTCAGCTTTCATTTTATAGCCATACTTCATTCTATTGCCATGTGGTGAAGCCATTTGCCTGTTATATTTTATTGCACAATTAATTAAATTAAAAAATCAACTGAATTAAAACAAAGGTATCATTTTATTTGAAAAAAAAAAAGAGCTCTACAAATATAGTGAATGAAAGTTTTTGGCAAGTTTGGTACAATTTTTCTTTTCTTATGCCAGAGAGAGAGTTAAAAATAGCTGGCACAAGATTTTAGTTGAAGCAAATGTGTAATTTATATAGGCAGTGAACCCCAGTAATTACTATATGCTGTTGTAGAAAATTCAGCAGTTTTGCCTGAAGGTGAAGTACTCAAGAGTGACATTAAGGTTTAGTGTTGCGCACTCCCTGTAGGAAATGCTACTGCAATAAGGAACATTTGTAACAATGTTATCAGCATTACCCCTCAGTGGTAAATAAAATAAAACAGAGGAATGTAGAAAACCATAGTTTTGTTGCAAGTGTAAGATAATGAATGTGATACTAACAAGTTGAATGTTATACAAAGTAACATTAGCAGCTCACTCCTTTAACTACCCACCGGGCATAACTAAACAAACCTGCTGCTACAGCAAGCAAAGTGACATTCGTGGTGTCTATGGCTTCAGTGTAAACTTTGCGATGAGAACATAGTGCGCGTATGGGCCGTCTGCTGATCCCCATCAAGATCAAGCCGGCAGTTAAGGCCTGCAGTTGTGACATATAAAAACTACTAAACAAATGGTATAAATGGGGTCACTACAGCAAACAGAGTAACATTCGTGCTGTCTATAGCTTCAGCAGTGGTGATACTCCTCATTTACGATTTGGAGCAATTGTTGGAGCAGAAAAAAGTCTGTTTTGGAGCAGATTTGCAGCAGGAGAAACTGTGTTTCGGAGCAAATTTGGAGCAGACAAAACGGAATTTAGGATCACTTGGTGCAAAACATGTCTAAATTTTCGATGAATATGTGTGTTCAAACTGGAAATGCTGCTGCAATGTAAACAAGGAGACAAGGCAGACGTCCAGCGAGCAGCCATTAATCAGGTTCTTAGCACCAAAGTGTCCCATTCTGGTTTCACTGTACTGCACAAGATGTGCAAAAGTAAAGTGTTAGTGACAAGAACGGTTACATGTGTTCATGACAAGGTAAGCATGGCGCATACTGTTTCTGCGATGGTGTCATAAGGTCATTCCGAAAAATAAAACTTAAGCAGAAAATCAGTAGCCTAACAATTAAAAAATGAAAATGAATAAAACTCATTTGTTGCAAGTGGGAATGTACTGTTTGAAATTGGTTACATAGTGCAATAAATAAGCACCACCCTACTCAATAATAGCTAGAGCTGTGAGCATCCAGAGACACTTTCCTTTCAATTTAGAGGATTTTCAGCTCTGCGCTTCCAGTTTTACAGATTCAGATAAAAAAGAGTATTCTAAAAATGTGAAACTGGCATGATTTAAACAGCTGGTACTAGGGGTGGGGTCAGTGATCAATCTAAATATGAAGGGGGGAGCGATGCACTTATTTAAGGCAGCCAAAAAGGAGACGAGTCCATTTGTCAAAATGTTGACTTTTGTGACTCGCCTGTTCACGAATCTTTCACCTAAGTATGCTGTCAAGGTGCGATGGGCGGGTATTGGCCCCGCACTACTGACATAGTTCGGGATTAACAACGGCATTCCACGAACAGGCAAGATGACAGATGGCGACCAAATGGTTAGGTAGGAGGAGTGCTACCATTTTTTTTTTTTATTTAGGAGGAGGGTGGAGGAGGTAGTCAGTGTGCGATTTGCGAACATAGGGTGCCGAGCTCACTCACAAGCATACTCCTCAACAAGTGTAAAGGAATCACTTGGGCAAATTTGCAAGCCGGGGAGACTTGTTTTACCCAACATTACTATGATTTTAACTTTCACTGCGTTAGCATATAGTGATAGTACCGACGAGATTTTTACCGTCGCCATCATGTTGCCTAATCCCGTTCACTCTGAGGCGCATGAGATAAGATCCCCCCTCCCCACCTTGGTCTTTTAGACTGGCCATCAAATTCTGAACAGGGAGGCAACACCCCGCCCGTCTTTAACTAGTGTCAAAAGACTAGGCTTGTGCCAATAGTGAATTTCAGGGTGGAAGCGAATTCAAAGCGAATAGTGATTTTGGTCGAATAATTTCTAATCGAATTCTAATAGTATGTGTGACATATAAAAAAAGAGAATATTTATCATAACCTAACTAACCTGCACGATATTTCTTTTGAATTGAAATAGGGGCTTTATGCAAATGGCGTTTTTTTTTTTTCGTTGAAAAGAAGTCGAAACAACCTTGATTATTAGTTTCGGTAGGATCCGAGTGATAACCTGCGAGATACATAACGTTTTAAAATTGATTGATTTGTGGGGTTTAACGTCTTTAAAACCACCATATGATTAAACGTTTTAAGATTGATTATACTTAAATCATATAAATCATCATAACAAGCTTAATAAATGAAGGATTGATTTGAGGGTAACATGTTCCTTTAAAAGGACCCTGCAACACTTTTTCAAGTATCCATGGAGCCAGTAAACATGCTTGTCGCCTCACAAATTTACCGCCGCAAAGTTTCTAGAATGAGTCCAGTACGAGCAGAGGTCCAAAAATTTGTCGCAAGCTGCAATTGCATTCTCCATTCTCGACCCGTCAAAAGAGCTGGAAGCTAAGTAGGGAAGGATGGCACAGGAAAAAAAAAAACCACCATGAGCGCCTAGTGACCTTGAGCATTTTTTCTCTCTCTTTTTTCTTCGAATACGAGGCCTTTCAGTGCGATTGTGCACGTACTTGTGGACAAGCGGCGGCCTCACGCGGCGGTCCGATAACGAAGAGCGCGCCATGCTTAAATCAGCCGATGACTGTGACCAGAGCCGTGTTTTCTTTCTTGGCTGTGACAAGCAATTTTTGAGCTTGTAGTGTCATTTGCCGAGGGAAAAGAGCAATTTTTAGCTTTGAAAATTCATTGTGAATTTCAGGCCGCGTGCTGCGCAATAATACTTGCCTCGCGTGTTCTCGGTAGCCTCAACTACCGATCGGCAGCGTTTTCTGACCATGCTCAGTAAGTGTTGCAGGGCCCCTTTAAATCTGAAGGGGGGCTTTGCAGCAAAGCAATTTTTTTTTTGAGTAGGCATTTTCACAGCTTTGCATTACTACATTGCAGTAAAACTACCTTTACAAATGGACTAATGTACATTTATTTGTCCATTGCGAATACTTCAAAAATATTCGATAATTTAAATTCGAATCGAAGTGAATTCGAATACTCACCTATTCATTGGAATATTCAAAGCCTTCGAATATTCGCACAAGCCTAAAA